TTCTTGACTCATAGGAGCAACATGCATTTCGTTTTTTGTAATTCACAAGTTTTAAAAATTTTGCAACAAATACATTTTAGAAACACTTCTAGTAATATATTGATAACCTTGAAGTTTCATTAAGAAATTATTTTAAAAGTAAGTTTATTTTCAACTTTTTCGTTCATGTATTAAGTAGTATTAAGAAAAGCATGTTTTTAAAATTTTTTTTTTTATTATATAATTTATTTTACTATAATATGTATAGAATTGTATAGAATTATTTATTTGCTAAAAAAATAATATATTATTATTAATAAATATTAGTAGTTATTATAGTATATTATTAGTATATAGTTTTGGGTGTTCGGAACAATACTTTAAGGACTAATTAATATACATATTGAATATAGATTTGTTTTTTGTTATCATTTGGTCTGTCAAACGTTTAATAGAATTAAATCTTTTTAATGACTTTTAAAAAATAACTGTTATAATTTACAATTTGAATGTTTCTCCGAAAGATGTAATTATAGACAAAAAATGTTCAGACATTTTCATGATGTTAATAATCATCAAGTTTTAAAGTAGGTACTAGTTTCTACACTGCAAATAGTATACCTATTATAACAGCTACCTTAGTATAATATTATTAAATAAGGACTAATTCCAACTTTTCAAGTTTCAATAACTACTATATAGTATACACAGGGTTTGTAGTTGATACTTCCAGTAAGTTTAATTGTATAAGTAAACTCGAATAGAGTACCTACCTATAATTCAAGTGCTGATCACTATACAACAGCGGCTGATGATGAGTTTAAATGAAGGCAATATAATATACAGTGTTAATGGACCATTCTAAACCTTATTCAACAGTTTTAATACCTTTGGAAATGTAATAGCAGTGCTTTGATTGGAAACATTTGTATCAATACAAAAAGGTATTTTACATTATTGATAGTGACATTCACAATGCTGCTTATTTATGTTTTAGTATCAAAATATCGATAGGTATATCAAACAAGTAATAACTATCAATGGTACAGTATTCAGTGTTAAGGCTTAACTATTAATAAGTAACTCATTCCATAATAACGAACAATTATAGGTACCTATAAATGTATAATAGGTTAACACGTACACAATAGTACACATATATTATATAAAATCAGCTTATATAAGTGCCAATATTGTTTTCTAATATTATAGCCGAAGTACCTACCTAACTTTGCCCAACGCTTTTCACCATGTAGTCGTATAGTTTATTAAAGACCTATTTTTTAAATTCCGATAATACATTATATACCACACCAATTTATAATTATAATTATTGAAATACAATATATTTACGCTTAGAACAAAAATTAATATTTATTAATTTTCTTTAACCTAGTTGAGCGAAGGTTTACCTTTAGTGCTGTTTGAATAAAGAATAAAATATAAAATACGTAATACCTATTTTGGAATTCGTATTCGTATTTTCCAATAGCTGAGTATATTTGAAAATTAACTGAAAACCTAATAAGCGATTCAAACTTTGAAGAAACAATTATTAAACTCTGACCTTTGTGATTCGTTACTTTTGACTATACCAAATTCCAATTAAGTTGGATTGTATGGTATAATATATTATATATATATTATATATATATATATATGTATATATTGGTTTAAAAACCAAATTAGGTTTTGGAAAGTCCTCTGATCTATAACCGTTCGATTAAAGATTTTCTGTAAGTATATTTACATGTTTTAACATTCTTAGTAAAGCGAATGAAAGTATGGATTGCATTTATAGTGTTTTTTTTATGTCTGATTTTTTATAGTAGAAAAAAGCTTCAACCTTCAACTTGTTTAAACTGGTTTCTGGTAGTGAACTGGGGTGAAAGGAGGGTAAAATTAAATTTCACGTACTCTTATTAATAATTGAAAAAACTAAAAAAAAAATTACTGTAAACCAAGGAATATTCGGAAATATTTATTCTTAATATGTTTTTATTTTGTTGTAAATCAAAATGTTATGTGACTCCTTACTTTAATTATAATTAATTATGATTTTTGAAACTTGTTATACATTTTTATGGTAATATTATTATTAGTTACCACCAAACGTTTACCTAACCGTATATTCCAAATTTGCTTTATGCGAATTATGGTTAACTGTTACCATTGCTCTGTGTACATTTTCATAAGTGTTTTTATGTATATAGGTACTGTGAAATATACACTTTAATAATATAAATTGCTATGAAGCTCTTTCCATACATTAATATAATGTTTCTTTTAATACCGAGAAAATATTGTATAAGATATCATGCACATCAAGTTACCGCTATTTTAGCATTTTTACCAATTTACTGATACATTTGCAGCAATTTTTTTTACGTTAATTCTCCATTTCTATATGTACTAATGTACTATATGACTACATTTATTACCTATTTTTAGTTAGATGATAATATTCTGCCTTATTATGAGACTTATCTTTGAAATACCTAACCTATATGTTATTTATTATCCATATAAAATATAGTATTTACAATCTGTACGTAATACAAATTGTAAATTGTACAATAGGGACAATGGACGACAATAAGATTTACATCGTTTGTGTAATCAAATGAAAAATATGGGCCTGTTGTGGCACAGTGGTTGGCCAGTCACTAATGTGATATCTGCTGGGGTCAAGCATCGTCTTGCGTCGCTATAGCTCCCGGAAGGAGGAAAAAACTTGTTCCAAAAAAAAACCATACAAAAAAAAAACCAACGGCCATAGTTTGTCGATGCTGAGATCAATTAATTATAAAAAATAATAATAATAATTATGTTTTTATTAAATTCAAATATAAACATTAATGGATTACCTAATCGAAGTGACCATTCAAATAGGCCAGGCATATTTTTTATTACAAATATAAGAACAGGTTAGGTTAAAATGAAATGGGTAATACATTATTTTGCCTAAAATAATTCCATGGTTATATTTATCAAATAATGCATTTCTTCCATAGATTGGGTTTCGTTAACTGTTATAATATATAAGGACTAATACGCAATTTTTTTTTTTTATATAGAACGTTGATATATTATGACAATCTAAGCATAACCCTCTTTAAAGTTAAGGTATTTGTTTTTAGTACAACACATGGTCAGAAAAAATGTTGGACATAATAATGATAGGTATGTAAATCGATAAAACCGTCTGACATGTTTTAATAATTTCTCTAAAAGTTTAGCATGTTCTGAAATTGTTTTGTAAAAGGATTGTTTTTTATCAACATTTTAAGTTCAGGTCCTTACCAAATTTAGTATTAATTTCTGAAAAATCCACGAAGTATTATACCTAACAGTTGACTTAATTTCAAAAATGCATTACTTAACCTAGAAAAAAAATTATTTTTATTTCTCTGTATGACACAGGTAGGTACATCGTAGGTATACAGAAACATTTCAATAATATTAATAGTTAAACGTATTTATATGCTTTGTATATTATTATGTACCCAGTAAATATGTTTTATTTTATAGCATATATTAATAATATTAGTTAGGTACCTGTTAACTATGTTTACATTTTATTGAATATTCAACTGACAATCAAATCGTATAAGCCTAAATTTTATTAATTATATAGGTATTTGATTCGCATAACAAACATTAGTCATATTATGTTTGGTGTCTCAGTTTTATATACGTATTACATCGAAATACCGTTTTAAAAAAAAAATAATGATTGGAAAAACTAAAAATATGATTTTTTTAAATTAATTTCCAATCACGTTTTTTTCCATAATATTGTATGTATATTGCAATTGAACAGAGATAACCAAACAAATATTTTTCATTACAATATGAAAAAAAAATAGGTAGCTAATATTTGTTGTATGAATACTCGGCAAATAAAAAATATTGTTCATGATTACATTTAATCAAGAGTGAAAATTAAAATTTATTTGATTCCCGCTTCAAAACTATATACTATATACCTACATACATTAAATATATGAAATAAAAATTGTGTAGATCAATAAAATCCAATTTATGGGTACCTATACACGACTGTATCGTCGTTATAATAGTACTTACACAGTTTAGTATAATTGGATGAACGTGTTGATGCCAGCTGATTCGGAGGTGGATGTGCTCACGTTATAATATACGTCTTAAATGTCTGTACTTGGGTCATGATACAAATCAAGTAATCCGTCAATTTAAATTCAACAGATAAAACACCACGACTGATTACAGGCCGTTAGCGATTCCGTCCCCAGATAGTCACTGGTGCTTCAATTATTAAACAAAATCGAGTCATGTTAAGTAATACCGAGGTAAACACATTATGTCTATAAATAAATTCGGTTTAGATAAGAAGTTCAGGGGGTATATAATATATATTCACGTTATTGGGATACAAAAGCATATCCCAGGAGAGCCAGTGAATCGGTGCACTAGCAAAGGGTAAGCCCAGAGCCAAATGATATCTTCCTCGGAATGACATGGATCCGAGATTAGAAGGTCAATTAACATAATTTTATGCGGGCGGACGGACAAAAAGAAAAGCAGGAATTGAACAGAATATATATATATATCAAGGGAACCTTTTATAATCCAACGAAACATAAAATACTGTAGTAACTATTTAAATCCCTTTCTTTTTATTTTTATTTTAATAATCGTTTATATTGTTACAAATAATATTTTGAACTCTGTTCGGTTATAACATTGCAATAGTATAGTAAAATAATGATAATAATAATAATAATAGTTAACATAGGCTTAAAAAGAAGTGATGTATAGTGTGTGATGTGTACCTACTGTATTTGTATATTATAATATAATATGAAGTTGGATACTCGGGTCTAAAAAAACATATTGGTTCACAAATATTGGGGAAGACTTCTAAATAAATAGGTCCGTTAAAAAACGGTGTTACAATAAATTAATAAATACAAATAATAATGATCGTAAATCGAATCTACTAGCACGATATTATTATTATTATATTAATATTTCAATTATTAAGCCCTCACGTTCAGATCGTTGTCATCGTCGTCGTCGTCGTCGTCTTCGCTCACCTCGACGGTCGCAAGTTTTTCGAATCCAGCTCGTTGTTTCTTATTGAATATGTTTCCCAAAGTAAATCCATCTGCAGTGTTGAGTGTCCGAGGCTGCCATCGACTGAAAGCTGCGTCTTTCCGGTGAGCTGAAACAATACAATTGTATGTAATTAATTGAAGTGGAGTCTGCACGTACACGTATAGGCTAGGTATATAATATAAGTAAGTATAGGTATATTTTATAAAATATGATATTAATTTTTGCCAACGCTCGCATATAAAGAGGATGGTTATTTTATCGCTGCATAAAAGTCATTTTTATAATAAGTATATTTAAGTAATATTTTCATAACTTGGAGTCATAGCATAACACAATATTTATTAAAGTAGTAAAAAACATAAAAATGATAATGACAAAAAAATGTTTTTAAAAATCACATATTTACAAAATATATTTAAAAAAAAAAAATAATAATAATATTTACATAATCACCATAACGATGGCGTAGCGCACAAGTGTGATAAGTGAGTAAGTGACATTTTCGTAATTGTTCAGGAGAACGATTTTTAAGTTTGAGATGTTATAACAAATTCAAAAATGTAACGAACTGTACGACATCTATCGGAATAAATAATGAACTATTCACTTACAACGTTTGGGCATAATGTGCAGAATTGTATGATTAAATTGATTATGCACTTAACTCATTTTTCAAAAAAATGTCACTTATCACACTTGTGCGCTACGCCATCGATATAATATTATATTATAAGTTAGAACAATGCAACTCAAGTCATATTCTAATCAGGGATGTCAGTTGAGGAACTCAGTCTTGAATTGAGGTGTACCTAACATATCTTACTTAGGTTGGACACCAATTTTACCGTATGCCATTTTGTCACACAAAATATAATAAAATACAATCAATCGAAAATGTGTATTAGCGATCATCTTTAAAATAAAAGATATTACGCATACACAAAATATACACCTACAACTCCATCCATACCAAATATTAGGTCTACCCAGCTACTAAATGAGTATGGATGTAGTATGTACAAAACAAACAAAATTGATTGGGTATAAATAGGCAAATGGTATTACGTTGCAAAATATTTTTTTAAACTCCTTGTTGCTTGTACGATATAATACCAATTATTCAGTAAATATCTTATACCCACACCCACAGTAATAATAATAATAATAATAATACGACCGAGTAAGACGTAGACAAATATAAAAACACGAAAAAAAAAATGTGCTAGTTGTGGGAAAAATTGGATTGGTAAAAATGTTTTCCATCTTACTAAAAACTTAAATGACACTATGATTCGAACTGTTTTCAAATTAAACATACAACACAACTGAGCAGTAAAACATTTCTGTGTATATTTATTATACAATAGTAATACATCGAATATATTATAAATATATGACTGTCAATTTACACGACCTACTTGTTTTTAAGTTTTTAAAATTTTCCACAATTCTATAAATTTGAAAGTCAAAGTTTATATTTTAGTCATCACTTTAACTACAGGTAATACTTTTCCACCAATCTACTGCTCGATAACTATTTAGGGGGGGGGGGTTGATAGGGCGTATTATATCTTCATGAGAATAGTTCATAGGTATTGTAGAATTGTGGGATTTTTATAACTATTGTTTTATCTTTAAGAAAAAGACTTCCTACAGGCCACATCAAACTCCGATTTCTTTTTTTATTTCAAATAATGGCATAATATAATTTATAAAAAACACTTCAAATTGTATTATTTTTGAAGATAGGTATATTATAAAGTTTGGGGATAAAATAATGAAAAACTGAGTTCGAAAAAAAATTAATAACTACCTAAATAATTTAAACTGGTGAAAGCCACTGAAAGGTAAGTATGAAAATGCAATAATATTATATTAAAATTAAAGTTAGTAATTACCTATAAATATTAAATACTTAAGTAAATACCATACCTAACAAAATTTAATTTAAAATAAAATATTATATATTGAACAAGGTGTCTCAATAAATACATGTTTTATAAAGTATAAGAATTAAAGAATCAATCAACCATGTTTTAAAAAAATATTAAAAGAAACCTGTTAAATTAGTAAAAATGTATGTGAAAAAAAAAAATTTCTGTTCCCAGCCCAAAAACATATTCATGTTAAAATAACTACACAAATTACATTTTGACGTATCATCAACATTTATACATTATATGTTATTTAAAACGGCTAAGAAAAAAAATAGTAATACAAAATTACTTTCCTGATAAAATTCCTAACAATATATTTTAGCGGTTATGTGTTAGGGTAGGATCAAATAATTTTTATAATATCTATAGTGAATTATTTAAAATGTATTAAGTTTTTTAACTTCATAAAAATAACAGAAACAAATTTAAGAAGTTATTATATAAGAATCTCATAAATACATATAATGATTGGAATAATTTCAAACATACTTAACTTTTTATGGTTGCGCTATCATTTAACTTTATAAAATAACTTTTTTAAACTATATTTAATTTTGTAGATTCTGTTAATTTTGTACTCTAGTATAGTAGGAATGTAGCATAATATAAACAGAAATCTTTGTTTAAAAAATGTTAGTTATATCATTACATAAAACATTTCTTACTTTTTATGAAATCACAACTGTTTTTGTAACCTAATTTCTGATCATCCTTGTTAGTAACATTATTATTTTAAATTTGAATGCAAAACGTCAGTACTACGTATAGATTAGGTTAGATTAATATGGACCGGCAATAGGGGGCCTGCAGTCCGCATCCAGATAGCGGTTGGGAAATAAATGGATAGCCAAAAACATTTTACTTTAATGCTGATTTTTTTTTTTCATTATTTGTCTGTGTGAAATCCCAAAAGAACTTGCTAAGAAAAAGAAGCAGCAGCGACAGTTAGAAAACACTTGTTCATCATTTCTAAGGAGTTTAACATCTGTAACATCAGAGGTGAATATATAGTTGTATCCTAGGTATTATTCCTGATCTACAAGTGTAGAATGTATATTTAGAAACGTATTCAATAAAACACCAATAATTTATTTAAGCGGTTAGGCATAGAATAAATTAAATAATACGTATAACACAAAAATATATATTAATGTTTTGATACGGTCAAGTATGGATCATAACTTGAATAAAGTACAGGCCTAACTATCATAGAAACTGATAATATTCGTTTATTGTAATCAATACTTTCATTTCACTTTTATAATCATCAAATTGTATGAAAAAAAAATATTCAAAAAGTATTATAATTGAGCAATATAATTAACTATAAACATAAAAAATATATGCAAAACATTAAAGTATAATTTAATCACTAGAACTATTTATAATGAATGAGAACTTTTCACAGTATTATAATGATTATTTTATTTATTATAAACTATTCAAGTTTAGAGTAGAGAAGTAGAGTACTCACCTATTGACTTAGTACGTGTGTATATTAAAACCGTTACAAATATAGCAGCAGTGAAAAACAAACCAACAGCAATTATTAACATGATCAATAAAATTTGTTTCCCAGAATTTTCTCTTAGACCAGGACAATCTAAACAAATACAATCACTATAATAATAAGTAAATACCTTTTAATAATTACTATAAGTTATAACAATTATGTTAAAATATTATGGTATTAATCTTAAATAATAAATAATCCACTACCACTATCATAAAATCTTTCTTTCAACTTTATAAGAGCAGCCAATTTTCAAAAGGAATTCAGTATTAAGTTGCATAATAATTAAATTTATATTTATTTGTTTTATATTTAAGGCTATATTATGTTTATGTGATTTTACATAAGATACAATTTTAAGTGAATTAATTATGAAACCCTACTAATCACCTTAACCTAGCTTTTGTTGTTTAGACATTTAATAATCACAAAACTAATTCTTTTTTGAATTAAAAAAACTAAATTAAGGAATTAAAAGTTAAAATAAAATATCCACATCATTCACACCACTTGGTATAAAAAAATGTAATTGTTAAATCTCCATTGTTAAAAAAAAAGTGATTTGTTTTCATTATCAAGTGTCATGATAAGTAATAACCCGATTTAGAGTAGTAAATTAAAATGTTTAAGACAATTTATTAAAATAGAATTTCTTAAATGTAAAAAATAAAATAATTGTTTCAAGAAACATTTTTCAATTAAATATCTTATCAAATGATAAAAATTAAATTATTAAAAGTGCAGTTTATTTGATTAATAAATTATAGATTATAAATCAATATATTTATAAAATTATTAAATCTTAAAAATTAAGGAACACTTATCATATAATAATAATAATAATAATGTACACTATATTTAATAGTATATGTTTATAGAATTTAAAATTGTACTTTGTTATATAATATATTTTATAATGTTCCAAGAGCCAGTAAATAAATAATTATAGAATCTAAATTTATGGAATAAGTTACTTTTGTAAAGTTTGTTTTAGAATTGTTTCAATACAAAATTTAGATAAGTGACATGTCACAAGATACGACATTATATTTCCTAAAAAATGATATAATAAATAATGTAATAATATGATAAATAATATATTAGATATACATTTTATTATACAAACAAAAACATTTGATGTTATTTTAAAATAGTTAAATTTATAATTGTACTTACTTTCTAACACGTTATATTTGTTCAACATTAATTCTTGCTCTGAAACATTAAGTGCATCAACACTTTTGTTAAGAAATTTGTTTTGAATATCTGAATCTAGAACATAGTTAGTACAATATTACAAAAAAAATAATGAATTACTATTATTTACCTACCTAACACAAACTTCCGAATATGAGATCTTATAAGTTCCACAACATAAACAGATGTTCCATCTGGGCTTACAGCCATGTCATGAGGTCGTGAAAATTCGTTATCTCTAGGATGGAATTGTCCAATTACCTCCAATGATGTAGCATTGATCACAATTCCTTGTGCTAATGTCTCAGTTATTACATCCATATTTTTATCGTTAAGTACATAAAATAATCCACCTAAAAAAAAACAAGATATTTAAATTATTGAACAAGAAAACAAATTGTATACACACATACAAATGTGTATACAAAATAATATATAATATAAAGTTCAATATATTTTTTGTCGTATTATTGTAACATTTCCAACAAAAAAAGTAATACCTACAATGGGTACTATACATTTTTTAACTTTACAATAATTATTTATTAGCCATTAATAAATTGTATGTACCAGCCATTGGTGAATATGCAACACTGAATAAACGTTGAAATAATTGTGGATTAATTTCAAAATTAAAGGTTCCATTGTTGGTATTAAAACATAATACTCTGCTATTTTCACGATCGGCCACACATATCAATTCTTTGTCTTCAGCCAATGTCAAAGCATGTGGGATCCACAGTTGGTAAGGAGGCACAACCATCTCACCTTTAATTATATAAAAATTAACATAACTAAATTTATAAAAATAATTTACCTAAACCTTATTTTTTAATTTTCAGTACCTACTAGTACGTATTTAGTTTTTATTAATACAATCCTATATACATATATGTAACTCATTTAATCCTTTAAATGTTAAATACTATGTAGCTAATTCAATGCCTAGGTAGAAAAATATGAACCACACAATGTATTAATAAAAATCATTAAATATTTCAAACAATGTTTGAAAAATTTATCATTGAAGAAGTATGACAAAATCTTTGAAACGCAGTTTTGTTATTTTATTGAGTATAGTGTTTTTTATTTGTTTCATATTATTTTTTTTTTTATTAATATTATTGTTGTAAAGAGTAATTTATTATAATAATTAATTATAAAATAAATTGCTTGGTGAGAATGATATATTTGAAGAAAGTAATCATGACGAAATAAAAATATTCCACTAAAATACAAAATACCTTTTTTACCATTTGAATCGAAGGTTAAGAGAACGGTTTTTGCATTGCTTCACCAGCCTCCCCCAACATTTATTGTAAAAAGAATCATTATACATAATAAATTATAATATAATACCATACAATATAAGTTATAACAATTAGTAAGGCGGTATATACCCTAGCTCGCTTGGTCTTGTGTGTTTTTACATAAAAACACATATTATACATGTATATTGTATACTTAAGGATAAATATGTTTACTTTATAACGTATTGTCTTAAAATAAATTTAAACTGTTTGAAACTTCCGAAATTTGATTTACAAAGATATTCAATTTAAGTTTTAATTCATTATACACAGTTAATGTTTTTTTTTAACATAATTACAACCAATAATTAAAAGAATCTAAAATATACAACAAAACTAAATAATAATGATCTAAATAGTTAGATATTTTTTATGAATAACATTTTAGGCTACATGTTTTAAATATTCTCAATTTTAGTAAATAGGCTGCATTTGTTTATAATAATATGTTACCATTTTGTATCAACCTGTGACTATAGTGGATCGGCCCCATTCCAACAGTACTCGTCCTTCAGCAGAAAATTTAATAATACGCGAATTACAATATCCATCTGCTACATAGAATTCACCACTAGTTGTTACAGCTACTGATGTAGGTTTGCAAAACTTGTCTAAGTCTTTCCCAGGTTCAAATGCAGTACCAAAAGTCATTAATAAATCTTCAGAGTTTGGGCCAAATTTGAACACTTGATGGAGAGCAACATCAGTCAACCAAACATTATTTTCATGATCAACAGTAATGCCATGAGGCATATAAAATCTATAACAAAAACAATGTATGAACTATCTTTATTACAATCATTAATAACTTTTAAAACACATTATACCTGTGACTACCCCATCTTTTAATTACCGAACCATTTTTTGGATCCAGTACAACAACTACCTGTTCAGAAATTGGTCCTTTATGTTTTTCTCTGTACACATTGTTTTCAGAAAATGTAGTTTGATTCCATTCTCGATCGCCCCTGTGAAATATATATACAAAATTGTCTTTGCTTATGGAAACACCAGATATTTGCCCAATTCTGTTATCTATTTGTTGTGGAAAAGGCCATTCTGAAGATTCATGCAAATCTATAAAAAAAAATCCAAAATTTTAAACAAAACAAATAATACAATATTCTGTTGAGCATATATGCAGAGGCCAAAGATAAATTTACTTTTGTATGTATGACATATGACATTTAATACCGTTATTATAATATTATATTTTTGTATACAATTAATATTTAATTTTAGGCATTAAATAGGTATCAATATTTACAAACTAATAACAGTCATTAATCATAACTATATCATTTTTAAAAATCAATATGTTCTAAATTAAAATACATTTTTAATATTTGACTGAGTGATATATAGATAATTCAAAATAGTCGCCAAACTAATCTTGTATTATCTCTGCATGTTGGGGAGGGAGAATTTATTGGTGATATATTTGTTTCTAAAATTAGTAGTTATCTGATATGTACTTACGAAATTGGTGAAAAAAATCAAAATTTGAATTATCAATATTATCCTGAGTATGTCCCATTTGATTCTGACCGTAAAGCTAAAATTAAAACAAAATAATATGTTAGAATGTATTAAAAAAAAAACTTCTACCTATCTATCTTTACATTATATATGTGCATAATTATAATAGATACGGTGATGTAGTCTGGTAAAATATGTAGATATAGAATATATACAATATCAATCAGCAATTTCAGTTGTTTTTGAATATATTATACATGACATCGCCACAATAGGTATTATAAACAAGTCAATATGTAAGTACCTATAGTTGGATAGAGGATATTTAAAATATCAAACGGATATCTACCTTAACTGGTTTCAACAAAATATGATGCACCAGCTTGTGATACTAAAGAATGAAACCAATACCTAAGGTACCTCCCTAGAAGAAGAAGACAACTGCAATGTAAGTTGTAACAGATGTTATCAAAATAATTTTATTGCAGTATAATTGCACTGTAACTATTAGATAAAAATATTAACTATTCGTTGATACAACTAATAAGTTATCGGGAAGGTATTTAACTTGCAACAATAGAATTAATGTAACCTAGTCTAACGGAAATAGGTAATATCATCAGTTGTTTGTACTTGGATTAAAATGATGGTACAAAGTACAACTAATTTTGTTGAAAATAATATTATAATATAAGCAACACCACATCTGTGTGTGCTGTTGGTCAGGATAAACTGAAAAATAATTCAAAGACTTCACCCAGATCCAAACATTGATTCTTACAAGACGACCAATAAGACACGGTGGTCGGTGACATATGGCCGGAAACTACAGACCTCTTGACTCATACCTGACTGGCGGCAACCTAACACTTCCATTAGCAATATGATATAATAATATGTAATACAGCCGTGCGACCAACGACAGCGGGGCACCGTCGGTATCATCAGACCCACACTCTCACCTGGCCCAGGTCCGTCTGCTGCAACTGGACTGATATCTGTTGCGGCTGCAGGTCGTCGGTGGCCAGAGACAGGTAGTCGCTGTCGCTACTGGCCTGATCGGACACCGAAGCGGCGGTGGCGGTCGACATGCAACAGGAACCGCATGCGACAAGCGCGGTCAGGGCGACGGCCACCGACATTGTTGTCAGCGTCCCACTGGCACCACTCACCCCGACGAAGACGACGGACACAGGAGCATCACCGTCGGAATGGCTTCCGGGAAGCACAGATTGACAGGTCCTGGCGACGCACACGCACACAACAGCAGCTGCGGCGATCCGTGGACTGTGGCACTCCAACTCGACGGCAGCCAGCAGATCAACAAGTCCGCCGTTATCATAGCGGACGTGGGCGGACTGTGGTTTATCTCGGCGGATCAATAGCAACGGAAGTCGTTACCAGAGATTAACATAATAATATTATTATATTGTGTACAGTGTATATTATATATATACAGCCCCCGCCCCGAGCGCTATCTGCCTGACTCGTTCGCCTTTGGACACCGTTCAGTCCACAGTTGGCTCGGGCCGCGCACGGATAGCGCCTCCATAATGGTTAGACGCACGCACGACTGAGCAGCAACCCCCTGGCTGGCGCAATAATAAAATTATGATCGTATAATTTTCTGGGATTTTCACACGAGTTTAAATAGGTTACAAGTGGGTCACTGTATAATGGATGGTATTAAATTTGAATTCAATGATATAATAATAATATCATTGTATAAGAAAAACGATTCTGAGGGGAGATGGTATGTCAGTCTGGGTATAATACATATTATATACTTATCTATGGTATTAAAAAAAATTGACCTATAATAGGTAGGTACCCAGAGGCGGTTTGACTGTGTAAAACTTAGTGGTGCAAGACAATATATAGACACCCACCCACCTCCCCACCACCATACACATACATAGTAATAACAAATAATTTTTTTTTAAAGTTTTTTTCATATATCTACGTAATTTTTTAGTAACTTCAGTAGAGTTGTTTGCACTTTTTATATTATCAATGATTCTGTTATGATTTGTGTAGTTACTTTTTTGTTAATAAGACAATAAAACATATACAATGTATTTAAAAATGAATCAAATAAAAATAAAAATTAGGTACTCTTTTTTATAATTTTTTTCGTATACAAAATTTGATAGCTTAAAAAATATATATTTATAATTATTGTAGGCTTTTATTTTGAAGTTTGATGAATTGGTACAATTTTAAATTTTAAATATTTAAATTTACAATATATTTATTATACATACAAATAACAAGCCCAAACTTAACGGATAATGTGATATAAACACAAATTAAACTTAAGAGTTAAGAAAATAAAAGCACTGATTGTAGTAATTTTGACCTTGAGCCATACATATTAATAGCCTCATCTATTTGTATATCAATATCAGAGTTACATGATATTAACATTAAATGGTCAAGTCTGGATTCTGACATGGTTGAGCGAAGATTAGTTTTAATTAATTTTAATTTAGAAAAACATCTTTCAGCACTTGCTGACGTTGGAGGTAAAGTACAAATACCTTTGTAAGCCAAGTACAAATTTGGAAACGCCGCTGACATACCAGTATTACTGAGGGTTTTAAAAATATCTAAAAGTTTTAATGCATTTGTATCTTCATCATTGGACCTCAAGCTATCATTATCGCTGCTATTATTCTCATGGCTGAATTCATCAATTGTTGTATTGTTATCAATATTTACTGAGATTTCAGGACATGTTTTCATGAAATTCTTAAAGTTGTTTGAGAATAAATTATACTCAGTACTCAAACTATCCTGATCAATGTTTGTGGATGATAACCATTTACATATATAATTAAATGAGCTTGGTGTGGTAGCAGATTTTAGAAGTAAATGTTCAGCAGAAAATAATGAAATTTCATTAAAAACATTTTCAGCATTGTTATACCTGTCATCCAGCTTCATTAAAGTCTTATCAAGAGTCATATTATATACCTCACTAATATAGCGGTCCTTTGAAGACAGAAGTCGCTCATCATTTGCTCTTTCCCCACTCATTTTTTTTTTAATGGAAGTACGTTTAATAGGCATATTTTTCTCTTCTAGGTCTAAACTTGTGCAAAATGATTCAGAATCAGAAAATATGTTGGATAAATTATCATCTATTCTCATATCATTTAAAAATTGTCGTGTAGCCTTAACAAGTTTCATTGCTTGAATGAAATCCATATCTGGAGCTTGTAAATACACAGATAATGGTGTAGTAGCTGAAAATATTTTTTTCATTAAATGAGCAGTAACTATAAAAGAAAATTTGTTTAAGTTTTTATAAAACCCCTTGGCCATGTCACAGATTTTTTTATCAGTCTCATCAGATATAATAAATTTTAATGTTTCAATTACTGCTTTATATGTTTTTAACATAACATCAATACAACGATCATGGTAAGTCCATCTTGTATTTGAAAAGTGTTTTAACCTTCGAATACGCTCTTTAGGGTAGATAGATTTTTGTAACTCAACATATTTGGCTGTGCGTTTTCTTGCACTAAGAAAATTTACTAAACTTCTGACTGTTCCAAAGAAATCTTGAACTTCAGCAGTTGCTTCACATGCATCACATACTGCTAAATTTAAGCAATGCGCAAAACACCATACATGCAGAGCATTAGGATTATGATTCTGAATTATTGTACGTAAACCTTTTATTGCACCTTGCATGTTGGAAGCACCATCGTATGCTTGGCCGACTAATTCTTTTTTCCAATTTAGCGCATGGTTGTCACATATTTTACTAAATAATTGAAACATACCATTACCGGTAGAATCCACAGTTTCGTCAACACACATTAATCTTTCATGGATGATACCATCAGTAGTACAATAACGTAATACAAAAGCGAATTGATCTAGCTTTGATACATCAGTAGTAGAATCTAAAATTAATGAATACATACCTGATAACTTTACTTCATTAAGTATTTTCTTACGAATGGTTTCTGCTATACATTCAAGCATTGCATTTTGTGACCCTTTAGACATAAAAGACAGTCTCGTTTTCTTAGATGATGATTGTATACGGTCTAGGTGTGCACGTAAAACTGGATGGTATTTTGAAAATAGGTTAACCCAATCAAGAAATTGTCCTTGAATATTATCATTTGCTGATTCTAAATGTCCTCTTAAAGCTGAGTTGTGTTTGGCTAAGCATACAACAATGTCCATGAGAACTTTCACAACTTCTCTATTTGCAGCAACTTGTGTATTAGAAGATTTTGTTAGTTGTAAATCTATACGGTTGTTATTAATATACATTACTCGATTTAATTCAGCCTCTAAATGATCTTTACATGTTTCATGTTTATATAATCTCCCATGAATTCCAGATAGGTGACCCCATGAGTTACAACCAGAACTAGCAAACAAACCTTTTTGTGCTCGCGGTGTACCAAAAAGTTTGCATGTCCAACAGTATACTTTATCAGTAGATGGTGAATAGGTAAGCCATGTTCTATTCTCAGTTTTTCCATTTACTAATTTAGTATAGTATGACATTGAAAATGAACGCGAAGGTATAGACGAATCGTGTGGGAATTTCCCTCCAGGTAGATCAATATCTTTTGGCTGACATGGACCCAATTCTAATAATGTTAGTTTTAAACCAGGCGATATTGTTTTTCCTATATAAAATGATGGATCATTTTGAAACTTGGTTGTAGCCAAAGAATTGTCAGGAACAAAATTATTTGGTTCTTCCGAATAACACTTTTCCAAATCAATTACTGTCTTCATGAATAGTTGATTAGTATCTTTAAAAAAAAAAGTAATTTTTAACATTATAAAATTATTGAAATTACCATTGTTAGTTTTATTCAAAAATGCACAAGTAAGCAAGAATATTAATTATGATAATATAAACAATTTTATAAAAACATAGTTAAACACCATTTATCAATTATATCATTATGCAATAAATTATACAATTATAGTTTAAAATGTAATTATAATTCAAGTTTATGTACTGACAAATCTTACCCATTGATTTAGATGGTGTGATGTCATCATAATTATTTTGGTCAAGAATAGAGAAATTATATGTAGCTTGAGTTCCATTTTTCATAAATTGTTGTCTTTCAATGTCAGTATTACGTTCACTACCTGATTATAAATAAATAATATTAACACAAAACACACATATTACATTCATTACATAGGTTATGTAAATAATATTTAATATTATGTAATATCAAGAGTAGGTATCTAAGTATTAAGTTTTAAGCTTTATAATGGTTCATTTTATTTTAAATAATTCATCATTTGTATCAAAATAAATGAGAACAATAATTATCAATAAAAATAAAAAATTATTATTATTAATAATATGTCAACTCACATAATAAAAATTAATTTAACTTAAATTCTACATTAACATAATATTATACAACAATACCTAGTTGACAACAAGTATTTCTAAATCTAAAATAGGGCAAATAATGAAATAAATACATTTTTTAGTACCGTCTGCTATTACTACATATTATTTAGTTATTACATTTATTATAATATGTATGTAAATATAAAAATAACTTTAAATTAAAATTACCTTCATTGGCCTTTTTACTTTGAAGGGTATTAAGGGCAATATCATTTGCAATAACTGTATTTCCATCACCCACCACAGTTTCAATGATTTCTTGGTCTTAGAATTATTTAAAATATTTAATTAAATTTCTTATATGAATTTATGAATGATACCTAGGTATGTTAAGATTGTTTGAATTAAAATTACCTTGATTTTGATTAACTATTGCATTAAAATCATCATTTTGAGCATTATCCTTATGAACAGGTAACACTGGAAGCGTAGTAATTTTTTCTTGGTCTTTAAAAAAATATAATTTTTATGTATTGAACTATTACTATGTAAAATATTATAATATTATAAAATAGGTACTCACTTGAGACGACACATTTTGAATTCACAGAACAAAAAAAATCTTTTATATTGATGTTGTGGCTCAATTTAATTTTTTTAATTTTACAGAACTCATTGTGTCTAGACCAATTTTTTTCGTTCATAGAACCTCTTTTCCTACCACAATCACATACATTATTAATTGAGGACATTGAGGAGGTACTTAAATCACCTATTTGTGGGTGT